TAGATGCAAGTTCCCATCTAGGGTGTCGACAGAAGGAACCCCGACATAAATGTAATAACCCGATATTGGTTGTTCATATCTAGCTAGGACGTGTAAAAATATGTACTAAGTTAAATTGTCTAAATATTTATTCAGCGGCTCCAGGAATTTCAAAATGTTGGTTGGTTGGTTGGGGGAAGAAGACTTGGAAGTCTGGGGGCTGCATAAAAGCCCCAAATGGGTCCAAGACAAAGCCCTTGTGGAATTCCAAGGTCGCGATCCAGGGGCGAAGCCTGCGGAAACTGAGGAACTCTGTAACACATTAGAGGTGATTTACTGTTGATTTTAAGATAACACAAGCAAATTTTTTTTAATATCAAATTGGGGAGGAGGCGTACGCCCGCCGCGCCCGTGCTGAATATCAGCCTTTAAAATAACTACAAGATAAATATAAAGCGAGTAATGGTATTAATAATCTAGTAATACGGTTAATATCGTCGAGATACGTTCGTTCGTTGCGTGTTTGGTGTTCTCTATTAAGTGGTCATGGAACAATCAAAATTAGTAGCTTGTTAAGTTATGTTTATCTTTCAACCATTCTCCCCTGCACATATTTGTTAAATGGGTTATATTAGAAATTAGCCTTTCTTATTAAAATATATATTAAAAAATTCTCCTTTGCTGTTATTGTGTTTTAGGCAGTGTTATTGTATATCTCATGTACATGTATTTTACTACATGTAGTATATTATCACAGTTTATCAATGAACTTGTTACTAATGCATGTCATTATTTAACATGTAAGAAGTAGAACAAGAACACATCCTAATGCTAAAACTGTTGACTGAGATAAAAAAAAATGATTTTAAAGACGGGTAAGTATTATTTCTTTTATGTTATGATAAGCACAATATATGTGTACATGTTTAAGAACGCAAGACATTTCTTTTCATTAAAATGTTAGAAGGATACATTGTCCTATTTTTCTTTATTTACCCTTTTCAATTGAGCATCCTTTGATAAAATTACATGATTGTTCAGCACAATGACATTTGTACAGGCACCTATTTCCAAAATAGGGATACGTGCACGTCCTACTGCAGTTTATCCAATAATATCCCATTGAACAATCTTTAAAAAAATGCATTTATGAATACTATAGTAATATCAACATTTACAAATAAAAACATGAAATATTTGTTTTATATACCATTTGTACAAGTACGAATTTTGTTTGATCTTGTTTAAGCTTAATTGTACATGTAAGTTGGTTACAAAAGAGAAAAAGGGGGGGGGGATGAGATTTATAAATTAATTTTCTGTATTGTCTGTACCCTCATTAAAGTGTCACGTCTTCGTTACCTCTAAACTTGAAGATACCAAAATGTTTCTTTTTTTCTTAGAGCGTTTCACTCAGCTTCTATGAATTAACTTGAAAATACTTCTTTCGTGATTTTTTTTTCATTGGAATGAATGGCATGTCCTCAAATTTGAAGATAGAGGCTACAAACTTACGACTAAAGTATAACATGTAAACTTTATGAACACATATTTACTTCCTTCACGCAGAAAAAAAATATTTCTCTTTAGCAGATTCAACATACGGAAAAGGAAACAAATCATTTTTCTCGTATTACATATTTTTTTAATTATATTATTAAATGTGTATTTACCTTATACATTAAATGGAATTGCCATACATTTAATTAGAGGAACAAGAACCAAAACAAAAAAAAAAAAAATTCGCTAAGTCCTAACTAAATTTTATACAAATATTTTTTTTGTAGACACTTTGTTGGTGTGTACAAGCTATGTTGAAAATCTTTGAATTAAGTTTAAAGAAGAAAATTGTTAAAACGAAATGCCTCCCAGTATAGCATGCTTTGTTTTAACCATTTTCGTTGCTGCTCGATTTGACGAAAAAGTCAACATCATATAATTAAGCAGAGACAATATTGAATAAATGCTTATATCACCTAAAGTAACGAAAAATGGGACAACTTAAAATTTCTACTGACTAATGCATGTTCCAAATTCTGGACTCCATTGTGTATTTGGACAACATCCATTGAAAAACCTGCAATGACAGTGTAACATTACAAAATATGATACTATGTAGATTTATTGATTGATTGTATAATAATGTTTAACGCCTTCTTGAGAATTTTTCACTCATATGGCGACGCCACCACTTGCCGATGGAGAGCTGCAAATATTGTCCTATACTCGGCACTCAAGGTCTCTGAGCAAGGATAGATCTTTTTTGTGCAAGCGCCTACTTCGACACGGGACCTCAGTTTATGCAGTCTTATCCGAAGGATCGGTCCTCACGTCCCGCAGTGGGATTCGAGCCTGCGACTTAAGGATCCAATCCTTACTTCGCAAGTCTAGAGCAGACGCTCTAACCACTGCGCCACGTGGGTGACAATACCATTTTGAAGGGTTTTAACTAATAAAGGTAGCTTACCCTTGACATGGTCCTTTTTCTGCATAGACAACTTGAATAGTAATTGTTAAGAACAACGTATTATAAATGTATGGCATTTTAAATCCGATATCAAATAGCTAATTTTTCCTTAATGGCCATCCATGAGGATATTTATAATGATAATCATTACTTCCTCTCTGTACTCTTTTCCAGACATTTTGTACAAAATTTATTTATAAATATTTTAAATACTTTTAAAACCGGATGTTTTAAAGTTATAAACAGTTTTGATGAATCATGCCAGTTAGTTTGACTGAAAGATAATTTTTTGTCTGCAGACAAGATCAGTGTATTTTAAGATATAGTTTCAATACAATAACTTTTCGGACAGATGATACAAACTTTTTTTTCTTTGAAAAAGATTTAATATAAAGTCACAAGTTTAGAAAAGTTTATGGTACTTAATTTTTTTTCTCCTAAGAACTGGAATATGAAGAAGACTTGGAATGTATTCATAAATTTTCAATAAAAAACAAATATAGACAAATTACATTCAGTATAGGTTTACAGGTGAAAACAAATTTTAGAATATATAACATTGGTGCTAAAAGCCTAAAAGTGTAATATAAACTTAAGAAAAAATATACCAAGCCAAATAAATTTTATTAGGAAAACCTAAATGGTAAAAAACAGCCTATGTGATATTGCTAATTTTTTGTCATTTTGATCTTCCTTTTAAAGTTCACCTGGCTTGGTATATTTTTTTAAAGGACATGATACATGTAGGTTAGCGGCCGAATCTCACCCCTTACTTTTCGTAAAAATCAGAACACTGGTTAAATTGTGATTGTTTGTAGTTATCAAGTTAAAATGATGCTGTTAAATTGTGATTGTTTGTAGTTATGAAGTTAAAATGATGCTAACTTTAAAACAAGTATTAATTTTAATTCAAAGCTTACATGAAAGCCACTACAGGGTGCAGAAGTAGTACATTTTCCAGAATTTACTCAATTCTGGTGAAATTTAATCATAAATTGAGATACTTTTCTCTTTGGGAAACATAGAGCACAAGCTTGCCTATCTGAAATTTTTACACATAAACTGTATCTGATATAGGTGTATAAAATACATAAATTTGGTAGATAGGCAAGCGTGTGCTCTATGTTTTAAGAAACAAAATGTGCTGCAAAATCAATGAAAATTTTCATAAAAATGAGAAATTTCGAAAATTGACCTATTTATTAACTTTACCGTGACCTCTCTATATTCTTAATCTTAAAACCACTACCCATTTTGTGGTAGGGGTGACAACAGGTTTTTATGGATAAACTGTTTGTTCATTCGGAAAGACCTCCGAACTCGGGGGCCAAATACTGGTATTACCCTATATTGTCCTTTATTTTACACTTTTAGCACCGAGATAGCATATTCTTCAATTTATTTTCACCTGTAAACCTATACTGAATGTAAATTGTCTATATTTGCGTTTTCATTGAAATATCATTAAATTTTCAAAGTCTTTTTCATTTTCCAGTTCTTAGGAGAAATCTTGCTAAGAACCATCCACTTTTCTAAACTTCTGACATGATATAATATAATTACATCTTTTCCAAAGAGAAAAATTGTTTGTATCATCTGTCCTTAAACATGATTGTATATATTTTTGTATTACCTACTTTTTAAATACCTTGCTGCGTTGTTAATGAAATGGAGACGCAAAATATGAGTCTGAACTTAATTAAATTTAATATAAAGTAAAAATTTAATCAAGTACATGGCGGTTTAAGACCACAAGAATGTTTGATATATTATGAAATCAATTACGCCATCTATTATGTAATCGCGATTAACATATTAATCATATTCATAATTCGGTTTCATTCTGTTGTGAATTTTGATACAGATAATAAGTTGTTTATTAATAATTTTATAGATTTCATGATCAATGATTACATAATTAATTACAAGTATTTTCTATAGTTAAAGCCACATAAGTGGCAAAGTGCAGCATACCTTAATGTATTGTTGTTTACGAGAATGGAGAGTGAAGGCGGTTGTCTGAAATACCACAATAACTGTGAGCTGGGTTCTCGACATTCCATGAAAATGTTAATAAACGAGAAGTTCAACAAATTATTTATTATGTCAAAATGAATTTGCATTGGCAATTATACATAAATATAAGTGAGTTTTTGAATAGCTTTGGTACACAGATCTTTCTTTCATTTTTTACTGTTAATGTTTTGATAAATACAAACTGGAGTGTACTTTTACTTAAATGACGATAGTGATGCACATTTTAGTTACATACTAGTCGATTAAGTCTACAGTCCCAATACGAAATACAGTAGAATCACTAGTAATTAAAAGAGGCATTATGCCTCTCAGCCACTTATCGAGCTACTCATTAATACATGTACATGAATGTTTGCTCTCGGTTTCGGTTTCATAGGGTGATGCAAAACATACTTAGGTTTTTCCATTTATTAATAACCTTTTCGTAAAGGATATGACTACTTTCGTTTTCGGTCTATGCACACATTTTTCAATTTGTATTAGGACAAGATACCAGGACATGTGAGTACTCATGTATTTTCTTTTCTTTTTCTTTTAAACAGGTTTTGTTTTAATTAGAAAGCTGATGTGATAAAAAAATGAACAATATTAAAAATCTTATTTTAAACACATATCTTCCTTTTTAACAATTCTTTTAGTAAATAGATTTTCATGGAGGACCTCAAATATTCCATTGAAAAAAGTGAATGAATAGACAGGGGAAAATATTTGTATATGCTACGCCATAGCATGCTATGACGATTACACGTTCAATGAAAGTATCATGGCGCCTTGTCCCATTTTTAATTCAGATCTTCGATAATCCCTTTTGCTTTTTTCCCTAATTGCTCTAGATTGAATAAACTTTTGATCTTACATTCTGTTTGTTATTAACATATGCATATATCAGATTTAATACACACACTGATTAAAAATATAAAAAAGTCATGATGAGGAAAAGGAATTAAAGATAAATGATGTATAGCAATATTTGTCTTTATTATAACAGAAAAACGACCAGGTCGAATAATGGTGATGTACTGGATGGTATACGAATGAAACAAACTCTTTGACCAGCATACCTCGTGTCCGACAACGAAGAACTAGGTGTTGAAAGAGTGTAGAAAAACAGTGAAGATATAATTGCAGTGAAAATTGGGACTCCTTTGTATGATGTAAAGGAAGGTTAAAAGTGAGTTAAGGTACATATAACATTTTGTTAATTTTTACTGAAGAGGAATTCTCAAATTGCTTTATTTTTTTGTTCGAGAAGGATCTGATGCTTGGACATGTATTTCACAGCGTAAAAAAAGAGAACTTCCCGATTTCTCTTTCGTGGAAATATGAAATCGGAAATGATAATATGAAACTAGAAGTGGGTGGATAAAGGATACTTCAGTCGTTTCTAAAAGTTTTAAATTCATGTTTATATTTTTTTCATAGCGTTTAAAACTTCCCGAATTTCTCCTTCATCGGGAAAAATAAAAGTAAATAATTTGCTGATTTTTCCCCTGACAAACAGATTTCAATTCGCTTTTTTTAAGGTGTATCAAAAAAAATTCAAAAACCCAGTGGAAAGTAGTAGTTTTGCGGAAGGTTTAAATTCAAATTCCTTTTTTTAAAAAATAGAATTGCTATTTTGTATCACAACTTCATTTCTTTTTTACAATTGCTTTCCCTAATTTTTAACATTCCTACCACTCTTATATTGTAAAAAATGTTCAATTTTGTTATTACTGCCTTCTGATTATTTGAATGGTAGTAAAATTTACCGGACAACCACAAGTTAATTTTTAGACCTCAAGAAGAAGGGTCACAGCATTGTTTAATTTAATAAAGAGATATAGGGCCACGTGTCAGAGGGAAATCATGTGACAAAACAGATAATAGTACCGTTGAAAAAAAAGGCATAATGAAAGCAAGTGACTAAATCAATAGCTACTTGCTGCGTTAGAAAATTGATTGCTTCAAGGTATATATGGCGTATCTGAGTAAAAAATGAAAATGCGAGATTAAGCGGAGATTTACACGATATTTGTTATTTACATTCAAATTAGGATTTTCATCTATTTTGAACCTAAATATCCCAGCGTTTGTACTACTTAAATTGACTTTAAACTATGTCTGATTTTTATTTCCGAGTCGGAAATAATTCAGTTATTGTTTTAAATTCTGCGTTATCTTTGAAACGCAATTGATTTAAATTTTGTAATTTACAGGAAAGTCTTCCCTTTATTTAAAGTAACAAAACAAATAGAAAGATCTTTTTAATTTTAGATAGTCAGAACTTATCAAAAATACGCCATATATCACTTTCAGTTTAAATATAGTTAGAATATCAACGGCCGGTTTTGAAACTGTTCTTTCGTGGGGACTCGCCGCTGATTAAGAATGGCCGTAACAGCAGGTGTGACTGTGCACCGTAGTAGAATTTTTATTTCTTTATACTTTAAGGTTTTTTTTATCAATAATTACAGGATATTTCATATCGGCTGACCTCTGATGATGGCGCGCCTTGGGGTTCCAAAAGACGCCAGAAACATCACGATATTTACGTTGATGTCAGGTTACAGGCTTATCTTCATTATTAGTCTGTTAAGCAATCAAATAGTGTCCGTGAAATCGAAAAGTCCAAGAACTCAAAAAAGATTTACGCCAGTAAGTGCTTGATTACAGTACAAGGAACTGATATAGTTTATACACATAAAGAACATAAAATGACTTCCGACAATATAATCCTAATGTCGTAAAATCATAAGGACAAAAAACAGAGTACTATTAACGATTAAATGGCAAGAAAAAAGATAATCGTATCACCATATATAGTTAAAAAGAAGCAAATATATATATATAAAGTAAGAGCATTCATTGTCTGCATGGTAGAATTTTGATCCCTGTTGTAAAGTTTTTTTTTTAATTCTATTGTTGCCAAGATCATTAGAAGGTATTTCTGCTTTCATTGTAGGACGATGTTTGTACGGAAACATTTAAAACTATTACTTCTGTAAATGGATGCCCAACAGATGAGGAGAATATCAAAAAAAGGTCAAGTGAATTTAACTGCAAAGATGTTCGTGATTCTTGTACCAGTGAAGATTTCGTGTATCATTGCGTACATTCTGGCAGAAGAATCCTGGAAGTTTGTTCCCCAAGACGTTATGTCACTGGTATTTTTCTTAATCTTCACTCTTTAATATTTTCAATTCTTTATAGTGAATTGAGTTACATGCATAATGCATTTTAAAGACTTGGCTTATTGCTTTACGTTTTCCCAAACGAAAAACTACAAACACAAACTCTATACCATCAGTCTTTCATAGGACTGCAGCTCTACTATTTTACACTCTCAAGAATAACAAAGTATTTCGACTACAGCATTAAACAGGATACTGTTCCATAGTACTGTCTCTTTGTGTTTCTAATTGTATAGCAATCATTTCAAAAAATATAAAAAGGGTAGCATTTGAAAAAAAAAATGTGTGTGTTTGATTTTGTTTGAAACTGGCAAAACTAGTAATCATAAATATATACCGTCGTGTAGCATAACTTTTTAAAACGTTTTATAATCGAAATCAGACCAAAACTGTAGGGTAAGTAGCATTTTGAAATAAGTATATAATATATTATATTATATTATTTTGTAATCTTGGCACGATTTTTTTAATCAAAATTAAACATACTAAATTATGTATCTAAGTAAGAAAAATCTATTTGGAATGTTTAATAATATCAAACCTGAACTGTAAACTCTGTACCAAAGAAATCAGCCACTTTTAAAAAGGCAACTCCGCCAATCTCTTATTTTAGATAAAAAGAATGTATACTAAGTAGAAAACATCATTCACAAAGTAAAAAAAAAACCTACTTAATTAGTTTTAGATAAATCTCATGTGTCAGGTGAGAAATTGGCCTATATAAAAGATATATAGTTCCGATAGGAATTTTGAAAATCCTGAAGAATATTATTAAAATCCTTCAGGTTTTTAAACAGTTGTCCTTGTTTTAAAGTATTGTTAGAATGAAAGAAAAGGGGTAAGAAAGCATTCTTATAATTTGTTTACTTGTTTACAGGCAAATACTGTGTCCAGTTCGACAACAAAATAGGACGAGTAATAGAAGATTTTAATGTTCCTTGTCCAGAGTGTCCGTTCCAGCATTACTCAAACGAATCCATTACCTGTACGCAATTTGACTATTTCCATGTCAATTATAATGACTGTAATGTTATGAAATAAATTCATGTTATAATAATTCTAACGGCAATTTAGAAAAAAAAAAGTATGCACAACCATAATATAAGAATGAAATGCAAAGTCCTGGTATGAACATGAACGAAATAATTTATTTATTTTGATTATTTTATTGTAGATGCGACATGTTTGAAAAAAATACAGTCATTGACTGTTGTTCAAAGCACTGTGATGTCAACCGATGTATCCACAACAAGCTTTATAGCTTCAACGTCAACACCGAGCACAACAAAATTGATCAATAACAATTGCACGTTCTCTAAAAGACCGTCCTCTAAAAGACGTAGAAAAAGACGCGCCGATTGCAATCAGTGTTGTCAAAATGTACCAACTATCACAGAAGAATCTATCGAATATATGAATTCAAATAAGTCCATTGTGAACGGAGATAATGAGGAGAGGTTTGTTTATTTTTCTATTTCGAATTTCAGTAGCGACAGATAAACGCGAATCGAATGTTATGTCAATTCTACATTTACTTCACTGCAAATCTCTTAATATTAGATATAACTTATAATATAAATTTTAACCTCAGAGGTACTCTGTTGACGTATCTAAAGTGGCGTTCCTTTTGCGCTATAGCTATCACATTATAATAATGTTATATTTATCAGTCACGATCAAGATCTACATGTAACGCTGATCAAGAAGTCAAGCCATTAATTGAGGATTTGTAATTTTTCTACTGTTCAATATTACATTAAATCAAAATTTGCATAAAAACGTGTGGTCAATTTACAAATACTATGATATGGGCCTTGACTTGGTTGTTTGGTCTTGGTGAAAAATTGGACTTCATCTGATGTTTTAAAAATATATAGTTCGTTAATAAAGTAGGAAATATCATTTATAATGAAACGATTCCCGATTTTTAAGTGAATAAGGTTAAACACTTAAGTGAAGCCCTATCATATACAGACTAGAAATATACATATTTGGTTTAAGGGGCAATTAACTTGATCATATTGGAATATATGTGCAATAAACGCAATTATGAACATTTCAAACCTTTATTTCTTTTAAAATGAACTAAACTGAATTCTATCAGATGATAAAGAATGTTGATAGATTTTATATTGCTTAACATCCCTCTCTTCAATTTGTCTCTCTCTCATATAAGCCCTGGTATATCAACTGGAGGGTGATATTCTTAACGCTGTTATGTGGGTTCTCTGGCTAATCGGACATTTGATATAAATTTTACATATAATATGCATCATGCTTTTTTTAAAGAACCGCTTTTATTTGTGTTTTATAAGAACTTATTCAACCTAAACATCAAATGTATATTTATCACAAGCTTACCATCTTACATTACCTTTTAACTTATCTTAGGTACCTTACCTTTCAGTGAATTTTGGTGATATTACATCGTTTTCAAATATCTCCGATTTGATATAACATTGTTTTGGGTCTTGAAATAAAATATGAAGATAAGGAAAAGTAGTCAATCTCAAAGTCCAAAGGGAGAATTTAAAATATGGACCAGAGAAAATACAGACTACTAAAACAAATCAGATAATAAGGTCCTAATATCGACCATAACATTTTAGAATGATAATTTTACACCAAATTGTTGACATGAAAGTTAAAGTATGTTTTATCAAGCATTGTCCAGCGTCCGTCCGTCTATCTGATCGTCCTTTTGTCGCGATTTCTGCATAAATTCCTATCTATTTGTAAACATTTTCAACTCAAAACCAACCGGGCAAATGTGAACAAAAATTGATCCAAAGTTGAAATAATGCATTTCCCCATAAAAAGGATTCAAAACTGTTTGAAGGAAAGAGCTATTCACCTTTGAAAATGGGGATAATCCTACAGATAGATGGAGTGAGTAGATTGTAATAATTTGAATCATGACCACGTGGTGAAAACTACAAATACAAATTGCAGAACAAGCATTCTGGAAGTATTGCGTAAGCAATACATGTTCCTCAAGAAGTCATTTTTTAATATGCAAAAGTTATGTCTTAGGTAAAACTGCTTTATGTTAAAACTTTACTGGCAGACCAAGGCAACATAGCAGCTCTGTTTGTTTCCAAAATACATAACAGAAGACATGTTAAGTGTAAAAATCTTGTCATTTATTTAAATGACGACAAATGAAATCCATTTATGAAAACAATTACCAAAGAATTTGGCTGGGAGACATAACAGAATCATGGAAAGCTTGACCAGAAATGCAATTCAATAAATGATAACAAAACAGTGGTCTCCCAGCCACAATATTGTTACAACATACATATGTGATAATGTGGTAAAATACAACAACAAACTTTATTGGAAACAAAAGTGGTGCATATATTGGAAACAAAAGTGGTGCATAAAAAGCGCCGCAGGACACACAAATAAAATTATGTGGTTAATTAAAAAAATGTGGTGGATGGAGTGGAGGTGGTGGTTGCTCTTTTGTTCACAAAAATTACGCGGCAGCACTCCGAGTAAACAAGAAGTATATAAATAGGAAGCCTTGTGCGGCAATCTGATTGGCTGAAAACAGGCTTGATTTTGAGGTTGTGAATGCCTTTAATCTAAAATAAATCAACATTAAAACAAAAATAAAACTCATTTTTTCTTGCTTCATTTTTATGTTGACCATCTGTATTCAGCACAGCACGAATCCGATCTTAAGCGATTATGAAAAATTAAATATGCCATAACTTTCTCAAAAAATAATGAAGTGTAAGGACATTCAAACTTGATCTGTAAATCATAAAGATACATTCACATGTCAAAGTTCGGTTCAATATCTGCAAGTGTTTAGAAAAAAGGGGACGGTAACAGACAGAATGATGGACAGACGGACTGAAGGACGGACGGACAGGTGCAGAGGAAACCTATGGTCCCCTCCGGTTTCACCGGTAGGGGACTCATGATATCCATTGTATATTGTTCAAACCTGGGATAAAGAGGAGCTATACCAAATGATGCAAACTTAGAGTGGAGGCTATAATATTAGTTTTAAAGTTTGTATTTAAGATATAAAAATAGTATTCCAAAAACATTCTGCTAAAGAAACTCAGGTAAACGAAGTGATCCTCGGACCTGTTTTTTGCATGATAGTGATAAACAAAGTAGGTTCACAATAAAGAATGTCTAATTACCTGATTCCTTTGTCTATATGTACACCCTACAAATAAAACTTCATATGTTATGGTATTAATAGACTATACTCTCTCAAAGGCTTATTGAATACCAAATATTCCTGAATAAAAATCTTTTCAAACAACAAACCAGGAAAGACCTTATATTTCCAGTCAACCTATTATATCAGATAAAACTCTTTTTTTTATCTATTTTAACAGTTCCTGGGATCATAAGTTTGGCATTTCAGTTGTTGCCGTATTTTTTGTTGTTGGGATTTGTTTAGCCATCCTGTATTTAACTATCTTAAAAGGTATGTATTTGGATTTAAAGAATTGTAATACTTTCACACAATGAAAAAATTATGAAATTTTGATATATTTTCTCTAAGATCAAAGTGGTCAGCTTCAATATTATTCTTTTAGTATTTCTTAAAACTGCAAAGACATCAATGACAAACTTTGATAAATGGACATGTCCTGAAAAGAAAAGGAATTGTCAAAGCTTCAGGTAAGAGTTAATGGTAACTGTATTTTTCTAAATGTACATACTATCCAAATAACCTCAATTACTTGGTAATATCTATAAACAAACTATGCTGCATAGTATTACATTTTTTACCACATAAGTTTCTTTTTACTTTATTCAGTGGTGTGGACAGATGTGTAATGGTCATTTCTAACATTCAACAGACTGGATGAGTTAAATATGAAACCTCAGATGATAATCAATGGTCATTTTTTGGTTTAGGTGATCGAAGTTTTTGCGCTACAATGAAAATACAGTTTATTATGGACAGTAATTAATGATAAGAAGGGTACAAGTACCTGTATTAAACGGGAAGGAAATGTTTCTTACACATATAATTAATTTAGTATTATATTTATTATATTTATTATTGATTTTAATTTATAAAAAATCCACGGATCAGAAGACGGTTATTTCTTGCAACTTTGCGTTTTTATCATCATCGTTTTTAACATTTATTTTTGTCATTTAATGTATGTTTCATCTGATACTGGTTATATTAACCATTTCTAAGTGAATTATAAAAGCACCACTCAAATTCTGAATAAAAAATACGTAACAGACTTGATTTTAACAAGCATCGGCAAAATTAATTTTACCTGCCTGCGAGTAAATTGTCATGGCGCTAAACCTATTAGTATCACATTTAAATCTGACATATTTTAACATGGAGCGTCTTAATATATGTAATCATAGTTTTTTTAATCACCGAAAAAAAATTGCCGTTTAATGAATAATTTGTATTTGCAGAAAACCCAGAAGGTGGGGTGCTAAAAGATTAAACATAGTCATGAAGGTTTTTGCTGATGTCAAACTGTTTTATGAACTGAGTTTTAAAAATTTAAATTTAAAGAAACAAGTAAGATATCGATCCAGTCAATTTCCAATTTTCAGGCCAAAGAAATTGTTGATTTTATTTTTTTTTCTAAAATAATACTTTCATGAATGCGTTTACATTTTACAAGTAATTTGTATATTAACTGTGAGGATAATCATCTAAAAGACCATAAAACTGACATTAGGTCAAAAGGTTAAAATGTGTATTTTAGTTTGACGTAACAACTGTTGAACACATAAGTGCAACGTCATCAGAAAAATTAAAATTAACGCTTACATTAGGCAGAAGCTACTGCAGTCCTTTTCCCATTAATTGTAATTCACTCAAGGATACACTGTGTAGGGATTTTGAAATATAATTCACATCATTTCTGCTTTCAAGACGAGGAGTAAGGAATATAAGTGTAAGCAATTGATAATTATCTTTCGAATGATTTGTTTCATTACAGCAACGTTGTGAGCTAACAAAATTCCATAACGAAACTAACGCGGCCTGCTCAATACTTGATATCGCGTTTACCTAACTTGGTGGAACTCTTTCGAATAGGAGGTAGGAATCGTCTGTTGGGTGGGGGCAATGTGCTATTCAATACAATGCAAGATCGATCATTGTAGCATTTATAAGGACAGATAAGTAAAAAATCCTGGTGGAATACCTCACTAAACAATCGCTGAACCAGCCTTATATATTTTTGAGAGGAGCCAATCCTAAATTGTCACATTTTTAACGATATTTTTAATTAAGCGGAGTCATCTCGTTAAATTTTCATTGAAAATCATCACATTTTTAAGCAGATAAAATATTCTAAACTGTCCTTATTTGACAAGCTACCATTTGGAGTTCAATATCTGCCAAAACATTGTGATTTCGGCATTAAATTGTTCGAATCATTCCATTGTCACTACTGTAAACAATGTCATTTGCCCCCAGAAATTTAGACTTTTCTCAACTCCCCCGCAAAAGAGCGGTAGTAAGTTAGATAACTGTGAGGTACTCATTGGTACTCGCGATATAACGTATTATATGAATACGTCCTTGCATTTATGAGATTTTTTTTCATCTAATGCATTAAAAGTTTGTTTTTAAAGTTTTAAAAAATCTGCTGCCTATTGTGAAAATTCAAGCAGTATAGTAGCATAAATTGTCTTTGATGAAACTTTGTTAGCTCACAAGATATTGAATTGAACAATATCATGCAGTTTATTTATACAAATCATAAAGGTTTTCTGAATATTTTTTTCCAAAAGTTCTCATAAATTTTATTTTATTTACCTATAGGCATAATTTATGATTTCAGAAAATTATTTTTCAAACTATACATATGTAGATATTTGTTGGTGCCCTGGATTAACAATTCCTCACCTTTAGTGAGACCTCACATGAATGACCGTCATTATCAAGAAATCTAACGGCATAATAGATAAAATCAGTTTGACTACTAGAATAACGTTGTTATCTTCATTTATTGGTTCTGTATCATTTATACTTACATTCTTTTCATAACATAAAAAAAAGATTTTGTGCTCACATATTTTTGTTTTGTTTTGTTTTGTTTTTCTGTATAATTATATAAATTTTTATTCAGATATTCTGAATACTGTTAAATATTTGTTTTTAAACTGTCATGCTCAAAACAAAAAGTTGAATCAATTAAAAGGGGAAAGAACTTATGTTAACAAAATGTGTTTGTGAAACATTGATGCTCCCGTATGACAACATAGCAGAGGTTAAGCCTTCTCAAATGCAGATTAAATATGTTTGTACCTAAAATAAGACCTTTTCACAAGAAATACAAATGTGACAATAAAACCAAAGGAGCATCTGTTCAAAGGTTATGACCAAGGATAATGCTTCTTAAAAGAAGAAGGAACTCCGGGATCTAGATCAAAGGATCAAGGTTGATGGCTTCTAAAGAAAGACCTTGTCTAAAAGATTATTCATACGAAGTACGAAAGCGCTGGCCCGTTTGGCTTACCGTTCAAAAGTTATGCCCAAGGTTTAAGTTTGTAAAAAAGTAGGTAAAACTCCAAGGTCAAAGGGTCAAAGTTGTTGATTTCCAATTAAAGGGCCTGTCAAAAGGATTTACATTTGTGGAGTATGAAAGCACTAGTCCTTACAATTCAAAAGTTATGGCGAAGGTTAAACTTTGTCAAAAGTAGTCAAACTCAAAGCTCAAGATCAAATGCTCAAATTTGTTGATATCCAATCAAAGGCCTTTTCACAAGGATTACATATGAAAACTATGAAAGTCCTAGCCTTTACCGTTCAAAATTTGTGGCCAAGGTTATTTTTTTCGTAAGTACGAAAATGTTCAAGGTCAAGATTAAAAGGTCATGTTTGTTGGTTTCAAATGACAGGTTTTACATGTACCAGAAAAAAGTGATATTTGAAATATGAAATTCCTAGTATGTACTGTTTAAAAATTTTGGCCAAAGTAAATATTTGGATTTTTGTTTAAAACTGGGTCCAATTCCATGGTCATGATCAAGGGGTCAAGGTTCTTGATGTTAAATGAAAATCTTGTCACAAGAATTTAACATGTGGCGTATAAAAGCGTTGGTTCTAACCCTTAAAAAAATATGGTCAAAATTGTATTTGAAAAGTAGGTCAAACTCTTAGCCCAAGGGTCACATTCTTGATATCAAACATATGCGGGAGTTTGTTAAGGCAGCACATGGATCAGAATTCGGCGAATTAACTCTTTTTTTAAATCACATGTAACACTAATAAATCGGAACAGTCCGCAGGTAGGTTAAGCTTACAACCAAATATTCTACTTGCCTATATGATATGACGTCATAGTAAGCTATATGACGTGAAGTTTAGAGATAACAATTTCTTATAATCGATATCAAAGATTGATTTGAGGTCGTAAAAATTAATCAAAATATGCAGAGGCATAATACAAACAGAATTTTGTCGTTTCTAGGTTTCTGTAGTTATCACAGGGGTTAAATACCAAACCCGTGACGTCATAACTGTTGATCATGCAGTAGCAAAGTGAAAGTGACACCTAACGAGAATTCATGTAAACAAACACAAGAAAACGGAGTTTAAAAGCATTTAGAATGAATATCATGTGTGATTCATGTGGGAATAAAGCTTATGAATAAGGTATGGTAATAAACTTCAACAATTTCTTTGTAAAACTAAATCGGGGAGGGTGTTTACTTGCTGATCAGCCTTACCTCTGTCTTTCGTAACAAACAAGATGCAAAAATTCAACACTACGCCGCACACTTACAAACTTAATTTTTGTTTCTATCTAAAGTTCTCATTCTATTGTTTTTGGAAAATGCTGCTAGAATCGTATGGTTTACGTAATGCATTTTTTTTCGATGCTATGAACAAAATGTACAAATTTTGGGAAGGTTTCGTCAGAAAGTGTTGAATAATTATTTCTGTGATGGGACAGTTGGATTTTAGCAGCACTTTTCATGGTACAGTGATGTTTTTACGTAATTATTATTACAAATTGAAATTAATTATTCCCGGGGTAGTGTTGAACTTCTCACTTTTTTCATTTAGGGATATTTTCTAATTATAGACGTCACGTGGTGACGTCGTGGTGAAGTGCTTCATGTAGTATAAGTCCCATTGAAGTCTATAGAATGCATAATAACAACAAAAGTTTTATGCTTGACTTTAAAGATTTATTAGTGTTTCATAATTATAAAAAAAAGTCTTAATTCGCCGAATTCTGGTCCATGTGCTGCCTTAACATACCCGCGTCATGGATAAAACTTTTACTATCATTATGCATTCTATAGACGTCAATGAGACATATACTACAAGACTACACCACGACGTCACCACGTGACGTCTATAATTAGAAAAAATGTATTAATGAAAAAGTGAAAAGTTCAACACTGCCCCGGGGATAATTAAATTCAATTTGTAGTCATAGTTATGTAAAAACATCTTTGTACCATGAAAAGTGCTGCTAAAATCACACTGTCCTATCACAGAAATAATTATTCGACACTTTCGAAGGAAACCTTCCCATTTTTTTTTTTTTACATTTTGTTCATAACATCGAAAAAATGCATCAATTCCCGTAAATCATATGATTCTAGCATCACTTTCCAAAAACAATAGAATAAGAACTTTAGATAGAAACAAAAATTAAGTTTCAAAGTTTGCGGGGTAGTGTTGAACTTTTGCATCTTTTTTGTTACGAACGACAGAGGAAAGGCTGATCGGCAAGTAAACGCCCTTTCTGCTTTTATTTAAAACTGTAAAGTTATATTAGCATACCTTATTCATAAGCTTTATTCCCACATTAATCACACATGACATTCATTCTAAATGCTTTTAAAGTCCGATTTCTTCTGT